CCTGGCCGGGGGCTCTGTCCCGGTGCCGGTGCCGGTGCCCCCGCGGTGCTCGGCGCCCACGGACAGCAGCGCCATGGCCGTCACCGTCTCGGCCTCCTCGGTGTCCCCGCGCTGCGCCTCCAGCAGGGACCGGCCCACGGCGGCGGCGAAGCGCCGCACCGAGCCCCAGTGCCGGCCTGGGGACGGGCAGGGCTGGCACCGGGCCCCGGGACCCCCTCTGTGCCCCCCCAGGACCCCCTCTGTGCCCCCCCGGGACCCCAGGGACCCCATCTGTGCCCCCCTGGGACCCCAGGGACCCCCTGTGTGCCCCTCCGGGACCCCCTCTGTGCCCCCCTGGGACCCCCGGTGTGCCCCCGAGACCCCCCATGTGACAGAATCGGCCCCAGGGACCCCTCAGGGCCCCCCCGTGTGCCCCCAGGACAGAACCCCTCAAGGACCCCTCAGAGATCCCCCGTGTGCCCCTGGGACCCCCCATGTGTCCTCCCATGTCCCTCTGAGTGTCCCCCCTCCCTGTGACAGAACCCCTCAGGGACCCTCCTGTCCCCCCAGGAAAGAACTGGGACCCCTCACGTCCCCCCATGTCCCCCCACGTCCCCCCCGTGTCCCCCGTGTCCCCGCTCTCACTCTGGATCTCGATGACCTTCTCCAGCGTGGCCACCGCGTTCACGTTGGGCTTCTGCTGCAGCAGGGCCGGGTCCAGGGGCTCCAGCTGTGGGGGGACACCCCGTCAGCCCCCCCAAACTGCCACCGGCACCCCCAGAGCCGGGGCAGGGAGGGAGCGGGGTCCCCGCAGCCAAGGCGGGGAAACTGAGGCACAGCGCGGGCCGAGGCGCCCGGGGCCGCCGTACCTCGAGGCCCAGCAGGGCGGACACGCAGGCCTCGGAGGCGTCGCAGATGGCCGTCAGGTCGTGCCCCCCCTCCAGCGCCAGCACCACCCGGCCCCCCGCCAGCATCATCAGCTGCTTGGTCAGGTGCCCGAAGCCTGGCGGCGGCGGGCAGGGCATGAGGGGCGAGGGGCGGCCGGGCCGGGGTCCCCCCCGCGCCCCCGGACCCCACTCACACTTGGCGGTGACGGAGTAGCCCCCGAGCGGGGACAGGTGGCCCTCGACGGCGTCGAAGCCGGCGGAGACCAGCACCAGGTCCGGGCAGAACTCGGTGGCGATGGGCATCACCACGGTCCTGGGGGCGGCGCCGCTGGGACCCCTGCCAGGGACCCCCGCCAGGGCAGGGACCCCCACCAGGGCAGGGACCCCTGGCGCTGGGACCCCCGCCAGGGTGGGGGAGCACCCAGGGGTCGGGACATGGGGACCCTCCCAGGGTACAGGGACACCCCAGGACTTGGGGAGCCACGCAGGGAGCAAAGTGTGCAGGGACCCCCCTAAAGTGTGCAGAGACCACCCAAAGTGTGCAGGGACCCCCCAAAGTGTGCAGGGACCCCTTCAAAGTGTGCAGGGACCCCCCCTAAAGTGTGCAGAGACCACCCAAAGTGTGCAGGGACCCCTTCAAAGTGTGCAGAGACCACCCAAAGTGTGCAGAGACCACCCAAAGTGTGCAGGGACCCCTTCAAAGTGTGCAGGGACCCCCCCTAAAGTGTGCAGAGACCACCCAAAGTGTGCAGGGACCACCCAAA